ATGGCCACCAGAACAAACAAGAAACGACCCAGGACAACTGGTTCCTCCCTGGATGACCGGCGGTCTTGGAATTATGGTAGGTACGCAGCAAGCGGATGCGCAATCCCTCAGGTACGAAACATCTACCAGTCGGTCTCTCAGAGGGAGCATCAGTTTGAGCCGTCAAAATCTGCTCCCCAAGGGGAGAAGTCAGGCTGGTACGAATGGTAGCCAGGATCTGATCCGGCAGGTCGTCTCAGAGTCCTCCCTGGACAGCTCAGAGAATTGCCACGACAAGGCATCAGCCCTGATATTCTTGGAGCCAGGCAAATAGGAGACCACATAGTTAAAACGCGACAAGAACAGAGCCCATCTGGCCTGACGGGGCGTCAACCTCTTAGCTTCCAAGAGATACGTCAGGTTTTTGTGGTCAGTGAGAATGAAAACCGGAACCGCAGAACCCTCGAGCAGGTGCCTCCATTCCTTGAGAGCCTGAATAATGGCAAACAACTCCTTGTCTCCAATCTGGTAGTTGCATTCTGCGGAGGAAAGCTTCCTGGAGTAGAACCCACAGGAAAGTAGGGGTCCATTGGGCGACCGACGCTGAGACAGGAGGGTGCCTACTCCCGTCTCAGATGCATCAACCTCGAGGACAAACGGCAACCCAGGATTGGGATGAGACAGTATCGGAGCCAAAGCGAAGGCGGATTTCAGAGCTTCGAAAGCTAAGATGGCCTCGGATGATGACCTCTCGTGGGGATTACTGCCGTTCTTGGTCAGATCTGAGAGAGGCTTGGCCAGCGTGGAGAAGTTCCTGATAAACTTCCGATAATAGTTGGCGAATCCCAAAAAAAAGCACTGAATGGACCGAAGACCACTGGGACGAGGCCACTGCAGAACCGCCAAAACCTTCTGAGGGTCCATGGAAAAATCCCACAGCGGAAATGATGTAGCCCAAAAAGGCAACCTGGGATCGGTGAAATTCACACTTCTCGAGCTTACAGAAAAGCTTGTTCTCACGTAATCGTTGCAGCACTCGCGTAACATCCTGGATATGAGACTCCGTGGACGCAGAGTTAACCAGGATGTCGTCCAAGTAAACCACCACGCACTGCTGCAACAAGTCAAGAAAGACATCATTAATGAACTCCTGAAAGACCGCGGGCGTGTTACACAACCCGAAGGGCATAACCAGGGATTCATAGTGGCCGGTTCTGGTGTGTTGAACGCGGTCTTCCACTCGTCGCCCTCCTTGATCTGTACAAGGTTGTACGCAGCCCTAAGGTCGAGTTTAGTAAAGATCGTTGCTCCCTTGAGGCGGTCGAACAACTTGGTTATCAACGGAATTGGGTAAGCATTCTTAATCGTGATTCGGTTGAGACCCCTAAAATCAATGCAAGGCCTCAATTCACCGCCGTTCTTTTTCTCAAAGAAAAAGCCAGCTCCTGCTGGAGAAGTAGACTTGCGAATGTGCCCCCGGGAAAGCGCATCCGCAACCTACTCCTCCATGGCCTGATTCTCCGCAACCGAAAGAGGATACACCCTGCCACTCGGAGGAGTGGCACCGGGTTGTAAGGTTATGGCACAATCGTATGGACGATGAGGAGGCAGAGCACCGGCGCGCACCTTGTCAAACACGTCCAGGTACTCTCCATAGTCAGTGGGCAACACAGAGTCCGAGGAGGCAAACAACACCTTAACAGGTCCACGGATGCAACCGTCCCCACACTGTGGAGACCACGAGAGAATCTCGGCCGACCTCCAATCAAAGGTCGGATTGTGCTTCTGAAGCCAGGGATATCCCAAAACCACGGAGTAGTGCGGGGAAGAAATTACCTGGAAACCGGCCAACTCCCTGTGCACAGCCCCAATAGCTACTTTCACCGGCAGGGTCTCGTGGGTAACCTGCGGCGGTTGCAGGGGCCTGCCCTCGAGGACCAATGGAGTATCTTGAGCCTGCAGAGGAATGGAGGGAGTACTGGGCAGCAAACGAACTTTCCATAAACAACCCGCCAGCCCCAGAGTCTACCAACGCCTGGGCCGTCACCGAATCTTCCGCCCAAGAGAGGACAACGGTGATTAGCAGTTTATGTTTGCGGGAAACCGGGGACAAGGAAACTCCACCCAAGATCTGCCCGACAGGATCTCAGGTGCGAGCATTTCCCGGACGGACCGGACAGGACTGCCGAAAATGCCCACTGAGACCACAGTACAGGCAGCGACCCTCCCGACGCCGAGAGGCCCGCTCCCCCTCAGAAAGGCGAGCAAACCCCAGCTGCATGGGCTCACCGCCAGACAAGCCATCCCCAGGAGGCGTGGGAGGAGAGGGAGGAACGGGTGGGAAAGAAAACGTAGGCGCCAATTGGTTAGGAGGCCTCCGTGGATACTCCTTAAGTGAAGGCCTCTACCTAAGCCTGGTGTCAATCAGGATTAGGAAGGAAATGAGTGCTTCGAGCTCCACAGGCAGTTCTTTGGCTGCAATCTCATCCTTCAACGCATCTGAGAGACCATGAGAGAAAGCAGCCACCAGAGCCTCATTGTTCCAACCCACCTCTGCCGCCAGGGTGCGAAATTCTATGGCGTACTCGGCAACGGTTCGTGAACCCTGATGCATGGACATCAGCAGCTTAGCAGCAGAGGCAGAGCGAGCAGGCACACCAAATACCGTACGGAAGGAGGCAACAAAACCGGCAAACTCGTGAATCACAGGGTTATTGTTCTTCCATAAGGGATTTGCCCAGGCCAAGGCCTTGTCCGAGAGCAGCGAGATTAGGAAGCCCACCTTTGACCTCTCAGTAGGAAAGCGTGTGGTATCAATTCAAAATATATGCCCACTTGGTTAAGGAAACCCCGACACTGACCCCCAAAGCGCTGTGGAAGGGGGGCTGAACCAGTCATACCTCTGGGCACCGCAGGTGTGGCAGCAGATGCAGAGGTAGGCGCAACAACCGGAGCAACAACGGGAGCGACCACAGGAGCGACAACCGGCCTAATAGCACCAGGAGCAAGGTGCGCTGTGCGTGCAAGCAGCGTCTGCAACACCTGAGCGAACTGATCCAACAAGAGATCCTGCTGATCAAGTCTGGCAACCAACATAGGGAGCGGGGGCGTACCTGCACCGTCAGGATTCATGGCATTTGTGTAGTGTCAGGGAGCGAGGAGCAAGACACACAAGGAGGTGCAATTAAAGGTAGGTTTATTAATATAAAAATAAGACAAGAGTCTATGCAAGTCCAACAGCGGAAATCGTAGCCAAAGCCGGGGGTCAAGAGTCAGGAAGAATCGTCGCCAGAGCCGGGATCAGGAGTCAGGAAGAATCGTCACCAGAGCCGGGATCAGGAGCCAGGAAGAATGGTCGCCAGACAGAGCCGGGGTCAGAAGCCAGGAGGAGTCTTAGCCAAAGCCAAGTCGGTATCCAGGAAAGCAATGAGTAGCTAAACAGGAGCTTGCTGTTGTGCAACAGACAGGACACGAATGCAATGGACAGCCACAAACAGCAGACTTATATGTGATTAGCCGCCACCTCCTGGGGGAGGAGCCGCAGAGGGCTGAAAGCATAAAGGATCCCACAATGCTTTGCAGACACCTAAGATGGATGCCAGCACATGGAGCAGCACAAGGTCTGAGGAAAGGTACGACCTTGACAATCTGGGAGGGACGCTAGCACTATCTGAAGTCACTGGTGACTCTAATACAGTGATCAGTAAAAAAATCAATACACTGTACTAATGACACTGGTGGGAGGGCAGTGAAGGGATTAACTGGGGGGGGGCGATCAGGGGGTTAAATGTGACCTAGCTGTGCTTTTACTGTAAATGTGTGCTGTTTTTACTCATGTGGATCTGCTTTCTTCCCTCTCTGGGGCGTAATGTGCCTAGTGAGAAAAGATTGCATAATTTCCTGTACCTGTGTAAATGTTAACACAGGTACAGGATGATGTGTGATGGGCCAGGGATCAATCAGCAGGTCCAGGCCGCACATCACTGGTTCACAAACACATTGATTGATCTCTGGGGCACTAAATCATGGCACCAACACGGCTGCAGGCGCATGGAGGGAGTGTGAATCATGTATATATATGTGTTTATGCGCATATTACTGCTATAGGGCAGACCTTAAGCGCTTGAAGTGTTTATGAAACCTCTGTCAAGCTTTTATCACTGTTTATTACTTACTTTTTGGTCATACTTCTCTTGTGAGTCACAGCACTGCATTTACTTGTGAGCCAGAATCAGCCGATCGCGAGCTAAAGCCCGCCTTCTATTGATGTCACAGAGCCGCTCCAGGATCTAGAAGGATCCTGACAATATCAGATGCCTGGTGCCTGATCAGCAGCTATCTCAGCCTCTCAGCGCGCCGCTGAGAGCCTGAACCAGCAACTCCCACCCTTTGCCCAGCCCGATGCTATGGAATAAGGAAAACCCCTGCACTATTTGGTTTATAGACCCCAGTCAATTCTGCTTCTTCATATTCCACTAAGGAAAAAGTATTTTTTTAGTAATATAAAAAGTAAATAAAAAGCAACACAGATATTTCAGACAGAATAGTAATTTAATTCATCAAATAAATATTATTTAATACACAACTGGAGATGACTATACGTTTTAAGAAATTATTTACGCATAGATTAATTATGAACCAAGAAAGGTCATTCTAGACTTTTGTACAGATAATTGGCTTATAAGTGGGCTATCCCTGACTTCAGTGGCTGAAAGATATCCTGTTGAACATAGCATGCCCGCGCTTTTCATGCTTTTCATGTATTCACTCATGTTGTCACCTGCAAAATATATGCATTTAGCTCCCTTTCCAAATATATAGATCCAATCCAAACCTTAACCATTTTGGTTGTGTGAGCCACTGCTGTATGTACTGCAGGTGAAATGACTATTCCTTTAAAATGGATTTTATGTCTGTACATCATTCTTACAGTTGTCAAATTTAAGGGGAATATTTGATGATCTGTGAACTTACCTTCTTTTTCCAGTGTATAAATCTGAAAATGTTATTTCTTTTTTTAGACTGCTGAAATGGCAGAGCGCTTGCAAAAGATGGGAGAAAGCACTCTCAGAAATTTCTCTATGGATACAGAAACAAGTTTATATAACTTTGAAGGAGAAGATTATCGAGAAAAGCAAAAGGTAAAATTTTGTTTGCAAAAGTTATATACTGAATCATTTATATTATCAGGTAAAGTGTGAAGGAAATATTTTCTTAGGCCCTAGTACAGTGGGTACATTTGCCACCGGGACTTAAATTGTAAGATCAGTGTGATGTCTGATGGGCAGGTACACCCTTGTTTCTTCCTGCTGAAAACATTGGCATTAAAGACTAACTCCAGCTTTAGCAACATGTTACATGTTACACTCTTACGTAGGCTGTAACTTGTTGCTAAGCAGTCCCCCCCAGGGTATCTCCCTTCACCGTGACAGTGTGTGGGTGTGTTTCTTCCTTGCAGCAGATGTCACTTTTGAAATTGTGGCAGCTGTGTGGTGCTCTGCCCGCACAGCTGCATCATTCATTCACAGAGGTCTGTATGTATTCTCAATGGAATATGAGTGTGGTGATCACTGCACTCAGTCCACTGACACTTCCTCCAGCTCTGCAACTAAAAGTTCAAACAGAGGTATAGACAGAAAGCTGGAGGAAGAGTTTGCAGGAACCTGACACTGCAAAGCTTTGCAGGCTCCTGTGAATAAAAATAATAAATGCACATTTTTTTTCCTGCAAAAATATGCACATTTATCATTATTTTTTTAAGTGAACTTAGGCTTTAGAGCCTGCTCTCTACTGAAGCTTTTGACATGTGGAAAGAGAGGAGGTTTCAGTCTGTGAAAAGGCTATGTCACTACAGCTCACAAAGGTTTTTACTGATTCACTAATAGTGTTGAATGTTATTGTTGCAGTCATGCAATCAGCTTTTCATGTTTGGTGCACATGTAGTTGTAGCAACTTGTGTCATACAGTTGGCTGGAAAGTTGGATGAAACATTTTATCCACTGTTATTTTTGTCTCTGCTGATAAAATAGAAATGAATATCTTAATCTTTAGACCCCTTTCACACGAACTGACTGATTGGGTCCGCCTGCCAATTTTTCAGGCAGACCTGATTGGATCCTCCATTGTTCTGTATGAAGCTGCAGGCGTAAACGTACATGTGAGCATTTACACCCGCCTACATCCGATCCACTAAAAACAAATGGATGGGAATCTGCTCATCATTCATCTAGCAGATCGGCTAACAGTCGGGTGTAAATAGACAAGCAGTGCATTTACATTTGACTGCCCATAGAGGAGAGCAGGCTGTGTCTGTTTCTGCTCTGCATAAGCAGAGAAGACACAGATCAGCCATATGCCTTATGCAGGCCATAGACAGGTCGTTTATCGGCCAAATTTTTCCCCGCATGAAAAATCGGCCAATATTCACGCCGTTAGTGGGGCCAGCCCATCAGCCATTTTTTGCGGATCTTCTTGTTTAGTTGTATCAGTCATGCTGGAAAATCCACGAAAAATGGCTGTTTTTCGTCTACATTGGTGGCAGCATCGGCAATGGGTCTGAAAATTCGGCCGATAAACGGCCCGTCTATGGCCTGCCTTTCTCAGCAGAGATCAGTGGACAGATCCCCTGCTGAGCAAGCAGACTCCAGGTGGAGTTCGCCACAGTACGGAAGGGACCTTACTGTTTTGTATTTATTGGTTGTTGTATGAAAATCTTTACCATGTGTGCCTCTGAACTTGTTATATCATAGTTGTAAAGATGATTAAGATTAGCTTGAAACATTTTTTTAAAAGTAGAACACAGTTTAAAATGTGAATCTTCTTCTTTAAATGCAGAATGCTTGATGCATTAAAACATGCCACACAGCCATATTTGCATTATAACATTCTTATGTTACCTTAGTATACAGTACATTGTCTTTCCTTTAGTGATAGTAGCTGACTCATCAAGTAAATCAAAACTTAATTTGATTTCTTGGTATACAGGCCTAATTGGCCACTTAGATCTCATAATGTTTTTTTACAGCTTTCACTAAAGTGGATACATTTTTTTAAGTGCTGCTTTTTCTTGTATGTATTTAGCTGAGCATGTTGGAGTGGATAGAGCCCCCGAAACGGGAACGTAAAGCCAATTATGCAGTGGATGCATACTTTAGAGATGCCTTGCGTGTCAGTGAACCAAGAGCTCCAAAGGTAAAACTACCAGCATTATCAATATGATGACTGAAACAAGTTTGGTCTATATTAGGGGTCTCCAAACCTTCTAAACAAAGGGCCAGTTTACTGTCCTTTAAATTTTCAGGGGGGCCGGATTGTGGCCAGTGGGAGTAGAAGATGCCCCAATGGAGAATAAATCTCAAGCTTGGTAATTAATGGGAGGAATGTGCCATTCCCCTTATTTGCCGTCAGTGGAAGGAATGGTGCCTCATTGTTAGTGTCAGTGGAAGAATAGTGCCACGTATCAATGGAAGGAATAGTGCTTCATATCAGTGGGAGGAATAGTGCCCCAAGGGCTGCATAACGGCAAGCAAAGGGTCACAGTTTGGAGACCACTGGTCTATATGAACAATCTAATTTTTATATTTTATATTTTCGTGTTTTTCACATCCAAAATTAGGAGGCTTTTATATGATAAGTATAAAGCATAAATAATTATTTACAAACACACCTCAGAGAATGGATTAGTTATCTTCTATAGGTGTCACTGGTGGATGTGTGTAGTTTATTGAGGAGTAATAAGAATAAGGGATGTTTTTTTTCATAAATCAAAAAAGTGACAAATATATGTAAAAAATCTTCTAAATCATTGCTCAGTCAGTAGCTGCAGGGACCCGTATGGCTCTCACAAGCTAAGAATATGATAAGCTTAGAATTACAAATTTTTCTAAACAAAAGAGTACTTCGTTAAATGTTTTCAATTATTATCACTATTATTTAATGAAATACCACATTAATATGGACAACCTTGCTTATTTAAAGCAAAATATAACCTTTAGTGAACCAGAACATTGATTGTAATAATTATGGTTTTTGGCCTGTTGGGACTCACTAATACATAGCTAGTGGTTCTGGTCATCATATGATGTCCCACCCAAGTGATTTCACTGGATTACCAAGCATAGTTGGTGAGAGTTCAGGTAAGGATTCTTGTGAAATGTATGTGAATAACCTTCTACAAAACAAGAAAATGCTTGGTAGTGCTGTCTTTTTATGGTGGGGTGCTCCATTCATTGGGTTTTCTAAAGCCTGTGCAGAGTTAGAACACCAACCCATTGTTAGTACTGTTTTAGAGAATATGACAATGACATTTATGTTTTACACACATATTGTAACTCTGCCAGAGCTTAACATGCTGGTCCTGCCACGGTAATAGGAACACAGTATTGTGACGTACGTGCCCAAAGTCTTAAAGGCAAACTGTAATGAGAGAAATCTGTGTGCTGCCATTTCCAATGCTTTTGTAGATGTCAGTTCCTTAACTGTCATAGCCATCCCCCAGCTTTATTATTTAATGAATGAATGACCTGGAACAAGAAGGCAGGCAAGTCCTTCCATTCCAAGCTTACTTGTTCTAGGTTAGTCTCTCTGTAAGTAATGACACTCCAGAATACACCAAAATATTTAGTTAGTTGCCCTAACAATGAAAAAATGAAAAAGGACTATTGTATTTTTCACTCCATAAGATGCACCTGACCATAAGACGCACCTAGATTTTAGAGGTGGAAAACAGGAAAAAAAAATATTCTGAACCAATGGACTGCAGACATAGTACAGGAGATGACCAGAGACAGCAGACATACTACAGGCGATGACCAGAGACTGAGGACACGGTACAGGAGATGATTAGAGACTGCGGACACGGTACAGGAGATGACCAGAGACTGTGGACACGGTACAGGAGATGACTAGAGACTGTGGACACAGTACAGGGGATGACCAGAGACTGCGGACATGGTACAGGGGATGACCAGAGACTGCGGACATGGTACAGGGGATGACCAGAGACTGCAGACATGGTACAGCAGACCAGGGACTGCGGACACGGTACAGGGAATGACCAGAGACTGCAGACATGGTACAGCAGACCAGAGACTGCGGACACGGTACAGAAGACCAGAGACTGCGGACATAGTTATAGAAGACCAGACACTGCGGACCTTTGGGGAGCTGGGGGGGGGGGGGTAGGGGGGTAGCGGTTACCTGAATTTGACAGGTACCTGCTTCCACTTCCGCAGAGTTGTCCTTCCCCCTCATCTTCTGGGACATGTGACAGGTCCCAGAAGATTACAGGGCCATTCACAAAGCTCGGCGCTTCCCACGCATGCGCAGTGGGCACCCGGCTGTGAAGCCACAAGCTGTCACAGCCGGGTGCCCATGCCGGCAACGGGGAGAGAAGACTGAGGACACAGCTGGACCGAGGAACAGGTAGGACCGCTGAAGGTCTGCAAAAAAGAGCCGAGCGACCAGCATGGTATTCTAACACGGGGGGAATACCGGGCTGGCCGCTCGATATTCGCTCCATAAGATGCATAGACATTTTCCCCCATTTTTTTGGGGGGGGGGAAAGTGCGTCTTATGGAGCGCAACATACGGTATTTAGCAGTTAAGAGGGAGGGATGATTTGGATCCATAAGTCATTGTTTTTATTTGTAAAATTTTAGCAAATTATTAACATTATTATTTTTTCTATCTTTAAGGCACCCCGGCCCCCAAAGCAACCAAACATCCAAGACTTTCAATTTTTTCCCCCTAGACTGTTTGAGCTGTTGGAGAAAGAGATTCTTTATTACAGGAAGACAATTGGATATAAGGTAAATTTAAACAAGATCCACATGAAACTTCACAAACCTTAGCTTTTGTTATGGTAGGGTAAATCTCATTCATTTTGTATTTTAAAATTATTTATCTTTGGTTAGTGTTTTCATTCTTCTGATTGAAACTATGGTAACAGATATTCAAATGCCCTGTAAATGAAGAGGTTACTAAAGTTATGAAAATTCTCGTACGACAGAATGCAAATCTGGAAGCGATTTAATGTATTGTATTGTAATGTATTCTTTCGTTTCTGAGCATGCATGGTCTTGGTTTCTTGATTTTTTTGGAACGAATACTGTTCTGATTAAACAAAAATTGTTTGATCTCTCGTTGTATTAGAAAAAATTTTTGTGCTTGTCACTTCAAATATTGTCACATAATCTGCCATGATCGGCTGTCATAAGCTGTGTACTAACGATCAGATTATCGTACGATCCCTCCAAAAGCGATTTTTTTTCATACGATTTTCTGATCGTGTGTACTAGGCATAACTTTCGTTATTAAGTCTGATAAAGTACATATTTTTATAGAGTTTGTTTGAACTTGTATATTTATTCATTTGTAGTGCAGTCATGTTAGTTTCATAAAATATATGAGCAACATGCTATCACAAAGCAAAGCACATATACAATATCTGTAGTGTTTACCTGTCTCTCTGCAATGCTCTAAGTGTCTTCTCTCTGGTGTTTTGTTCCCCTATTATCAGTATGTTTTATTTTTGACATGTTGTCCCGACACCAGAGATAAAATGGTGATGGGGGAGGAGAGCTTAGCACACATCTTGTCTATTCATAACAGCTCTGCATGGTTCCTTCCTTCCTGTGCCATGTGTGAAGGGGTGCGTGTCCCTTTCCTCCAGTCAGCTCTCACACACTGTACAAGAGCTGCAACTGCAGCTCCCTACCCCCTCCTCTGTGGTACTGACATATGCAAAAGGATGTTATCTAAATTCAGCACTTTTTAAGGAATGTAAAAAGAGAAGAATGTAGATAAACAAGTAAAACTTATGTAGGAGGATTTGTTTAATCTCTGTATCATCTGAGGCTATTCACTTCACTGGGTATATAAGAGGGTTTATAACCACTTTAAGGCTGTGTTTTCATTAAGGCTAGATTCACACTGCTGCATTATTTCAATGCTTGTGCAGTGCCATTCTGAATGGCACTGAAACACACTTTCCCAATGCACCTGCAATGCAGCACACCACAAAGTTTGTTAATGCATATTTATCTGTGCATTTTGGTGCATTAGGCAGCCCATTCATGTTTTAACGCATGTGTGTTAAACGCATTTTAATTCTCCTACATGGAGAGTAGAGATCATTGTTGGAGGGCCTTGGGCCCTCTTGGATTGCAACAGGTGGGACACCCTGACTTTCTGCTGCAGGTACCTTCCACTGGGAATGGAGTATATCCGCAGGATTTTGTTTGACCTTTTCACCTGGAATTGGTCCTCCTCCTTTGACTGACCTGCACACCTCTTTGGGAAGGCCCTCCAGAAAACCTTGTATTGCCCTTCCTCAGCATTCTTCTGCTGGCCCCAGCATCACTTAGTGATATCAGAGAGTATGTTTAGTTGCATCCTCAGTGTTTTTTGGTGGTTCCTACCTCACTAGTCTGGTGTTGAGGTCTAACCTTTTGCCTACCTGTTAGAGGGTGAATCCATTGCACCGTACACCCTCTGTTTTGTTGACTTTGTGGGATCAAACACTTGAATTCTCTAGTGGTCTGAGAAGTCACTTCCTGTCCCGTGGGCTGAACCTTTGGGTTGTATAAATAATGTACATTTGCTGATGTACCTCACTTAGTGAAATTGGTTTTCTGGCTAGGTAACAACCATTAGTCACTGAATTTATATCCCCTTTATCCTAAAGGGTGTAAGACCATAGACCAACTGGTCTCTGTTGCCTGGACCTGTTTTTGTATTAGGTTCCCTCTTGGGACCTGTTCCTTCTTAGGGTTTTCCCTAGTGTTTTTTTCCCTGTTGACCACATCAGATTTTGGGGTTCCTTCTTTCTTATTTTGGGATTTTTTGTTGTTGTTTGGTGGGTTCTGGTTTTTCAGCTTCTATTTGGCTCACATTTGGTGTTCTCTTCTGTGTGGAGTCATTCCCTCTGGTGACCTTCTGCATCCTGGTCAGGAACATCAGACTAATCCTCTCTGCTCCTGCTTTGTTCACATTAACAGGTTCCCCTATATGGCAGGGGATCCTACCGCATCCAGTCTGTCAAGTGAGGTCTGTTGGTGGTTTTGGATTATCTTAATTTTACAGTACAGGACACAAGCAAAGATAATAATAGACCCTGGCTATAGGCTTGTACGTTCAGATGATTGGGCACTGACAAGCTTTCAAGGACAGGTTAAAGGGTTTCATTCGTGGGGGCATTTGCCATATTCTGGACTTAAAATCCCTCAACAAATACCTCCACATTCCAGAATTGTACATGGAATGTTCAAGATCAGTTATTGCCTCTGTCCAGCAAACATAGACATTGTAGATGATCATCTGCATAATCTGTGTTTATCCTCCTCATCAGTGCTTACTGGACTTTGCAGTGGCAGATAATTTCTGCCAGTTGTTGTACTGTCTTTTGGGCTATCCTCTTCTCCAAGAATATTCATAAAAGTCCTACTACCTCTTCATGCCCTTCTCAGAACTCAGGTCATCCAGGTCACAGGTTATCTGGATGAATTGGAACAAGCATACAACTTCTTTTGACCTGCCTATGCTTTTATCCATCCAAGTAAGGAATTACCAACTTGCTGGATTTCCAACCCAGCCATGACACTGGAGAAATCCTTCCTTCCCTATCACTGGAAAGTGATTACATCAAATGCTAATCCTTTGGGATGGGGGGGAGTGTTCCAGTCGCTCACGGTACGTAGAATATGGTCACTTGCAGAAACCAAACTTCCCAATAACATCCTGGAGCTCAGAGCAGTAAAGATGTCTCTGCTACACTGGACCCCCTTCTAATTGGGAACAATAAGACAGCGCCACTGCTGTTTCTTAGATCTACCACCAAGGGGGCACCAGGAGTCTTGCAGCCCTGAAGGAAGCAAGCTGGATCATCCTTTCATGGATAGAGACTCACTCAGACATATTCAATTTGATGTGTCAGAAATGGGCGACCGCAGATGTAGACATCCTGGCCTCCAGATTCAATAACAAGCTACCTCAGTTTGTGGCTAGGACCAAGAATCCTCTAGCACTGACCCCAGATGCTATGATAATCCCCTGGTTTCAGTTCAGGACAATCTATGCCTTTCCATTAGTGCAAATTCTACATACCCAATTCCAAAAAGTTAGAATGCTATGTAAAATCTACATGAAAATAGAAAGCAACAATTTGCAAATCTCATAAATCCATATTTTAGGCTTGGTTCACGATGCCGCTACCCCCCGTTGTCGTGCGATTTCCAGCATGCAGTGCAACTTGGTGATTTTGATGTGACTTACTTGCGATTTTGATGCAACTTACTTTTCATTGCAACTTTATAGATAAAAAGCATTCATATGTGACTTTGATGGATCAGTGTTTTTTTAAACCTCACCTCTCCTCCATGGCTATCTTTGCTGCCTAAAAACTTCCTGCGAAGCATAGTCCATTCACACCTGAGAGCAACGGAAATGCTCACATTTTTCAAGCATAAACATGTGTTGCACATAGGGCAGCCCATTCACTTAAATGGGCTGCACTACAGGCGACAAATGATCCAAAAGAACATTTTCTCAGTGTGGGATGAATTCTGTCTGTCTCTGGACAATGTGATTTTGTTAAATCCCAGAATGAAATTTACTCTATCATAGTGGTTTCTGTCCTTGGTGTTGTTGGAGGTCAAGTTTTTCTCCCCTTATAATGGAAGGTGTCCTGACGGATTCCAGCCTTCTGGGTTTGGGAGAGAGTTCTGTGCCTTCTGTCTTTTCAGAGTTTCATCCTGGGGTTACGAGCCATTTGCCTGTCATTACTGCCCTCGACCCCCTTCTAACCAGTCATCTGGCCTGAATTCAATCAGACATTGCCACAGCTGTGGCTGACAGTAGCCATTGGGAGGTACCAGAAGTCTTATGGTGAAGATAAAGGTAGAGTCTATATTGTCCTGGGCAGAGCATCAAGTTCCAGCAATTTCCACAGTGCACATTCCTATGCTGAAAAACCGTCTGGCAGATTTTCTCAGCAAACAACCTATGGACTTAAAGGAGTGCTCTTTCTATTTGGAGGTGTTATGAGACATATGTCTGCTTTGGAGAAAGCCGGACATGGACTTGCTAGCTATTTGGCCTAACAAGGAGTTGGACAGATTTGTCTCCAGGACACAGGACCCGACAGCAGATGCCTTGGTGGCACCATGAGATCATTATGCCCAGATCTGTGCCTTTCCTCTGCTGAAGCTTTTATCTCATCTACTTTGAAAGATTGAGGCCAGTGGCATTCATTTCATTATTATAGCTCCAAATTGGCCTTGGAGAGTGCGGTATGCTGACCTTGTATGTATGCTTGCTTTGTGGGCTCTACCAAATCAGCCACCAGGTCTGTCATCTCAAGGACTGATATGCTAGCCAACTTTTTGCTGGTTTTGAAACCCAGGTTCTGAGTGACAGTAAGTTTGTATTCAGCCACCCTGACCATGCTTAACCTCTTCCCACACGGCCTATGGCCGATGGGACTGGCAGGAACACCAGTCTGCTTTCCCTAAGTTCAAACTCCTTCCTTTTTCTCAGTCATTGACTTCAATGGCATGGTTTTAAAGCCAACTCATATCCACCTTGCCCTAGACCAGGGGTGGGCAAACTTTTTGACTTGAGGGCCGCAATGGGTTCATATATTGGAACCGGGGGCCGGACCAAAAGTAGATAAATTATGTGTATGTGTCATCCATTGTAAGTATAGTAATATTCCCCCATAGTAAGCATAGTAATTAATCCCCCATATAGTAATTCATCCCCCATAGTAATTCATCCCCCCTATAGTAATTCATCCCCCATATAGTAATTCATCCCCCATATAGTAATTCATCCCCCATAGTAGTAATTCATCTCCCATATAGTAATTCATCCCCCATAGTAATTCATCCCCCATATAGTAATTCATCCCCCATATAGTAATTCATCCCCCGTAGTAATTCATCCCCCATATAGTAATTCATCCTCCATAGTAATTCATCCCCCATAGTAATTCATCCCCCATATAGTAATTCATCCCCCATATAGTAATTCATCCCCCATAGTAATTCATCCCCCATATAGTAATTCACCCCCCATAGTAATTCATCCCCCATATAGTAATTCATCCCCCATATAGTAATTCATCCCCCCTATAGTAATTCATCCCCCCTATAGTAATTCATCCCCCATATAGTAATTCATCCCCCATAGTAATTCATCCCCCATAGTAATTCATCCCCCCTATAGTAGTAATTCATCCCCCCTATAGTAATTCATCCCCCATATAGTAATTCATCCCCCATAGTAATTCATCCCCCATATAGTAATTCATCCCCCATAGTAATTCATCCCCCATATCCCCCAGTAATTCATCCCCCATATAGTAATTCATTCATCCTCCATATAGTAATTCATCCCCCATAGTAATTCATCCCCCATAGTAATTCATCCCCCATATAGTAATTCATCCCCCATAGTAATTCATCCCCCATATAGTAATTCATCCCCCATATAGTAATTCATCCCCCATAGTAATTCATCCCCCATATAGTAATTCATCCCCCATATAGTAATTCATCCCCCATAGTAATTCATCCCCCATATAGTAATTCATCCCCCATATAGTAATTCATTCCCCATATTAATTTCCCAAGTCCCCCCTGTGTCAATTCACTTACCTTTGCTCCGCGCGTTCCTCTCGCCGTGTTCCCGCGCCGTTCCGGTGTAGCATGAAAAATCTGTCTCCTATGAGCATCTGTCCCCCTCGACGTATCTGCGCATGTGCCAGTTTCAGGCATTAGCAGCCGATCGGCGATCTCCGGCACATGCGCAGATACGTCGAGCGGGACAGATCCTCATAGGAGACAGATTTTCATGCTACACCGGTCTTCAGGGCGGACTGTGAGGGGAGCCTAGCTCCGCGGGCCGGATTAAAAGGTCCGCCGGGCCGTAGTTTGCCCATTGCTGCCCTAGACTCACAAGTCCACGTCCCACATTGTCTGTTATCACAAGACTTTTTTTTCGTGTACACGTTCTCAACTTTCTCTAATAGGTTCTTTATGAGCACCTGGCTCAGGTATTAGCGCTTGTGATATTTTTTCAGTAGCCATTGATTTCCAGCTTTTTAATCTACACCCTTGTGCAAAGTGTTGCCAATGTTGTACCTTTGTTCGGGCCTCCAGTGGCACCGGTGGATATCAATATGGTCTTTCTGTTCTTCAAGGTTTTCTATCTAAACGTCCTGGTGAAGTGTCTCATATTTCTCTTTCGCTCATCAATGGACACAGCAAAGTCAGCGAAATAGATTTTATGATGAGTACAAAAATCCCATTTTCCTTTTGAAAAATGTGGCCCTTTTGTTCATGTTTATCTCACCAAGTCAGCAACCTCAGACATCTTTCGGTACATGTGTACCGCCGTCTATTCAACAGAAGCTGGTCTAACAACTGGCTTTTGTCGAATGGTCTTGCTGGAAAACCAGCATGGCTACAAGCACTGATCAGTATATTCTAACAGCAGGAAGTCCCCCCCATCAGAATACGAAAGCTCAGTGGGAGAGATCCCTGCATCACACACTGTTATTTTGGATTAGGGCTCTGTCAGTTTTTTTTTTTGTTCAACCTGAACATGTATACCCAGCTTTAGTTTGCAAACAGTTAAGCATTCATTGGCAAGAGCACCCACCTAATACATTTGGATGAAAAGATGATTTCCATTTAATTCCCTGCAATTTGTGATAATTAAAAAAAAAAAGGTAAGGTGAATGCAGATGCTGGTGTGGCTATCATAAATTATGGCGTCAACCTCCTCCACAGCCTATTTACTTTGGACTAGAATGGCCTCACCACTTGACAGTTCCAAATGGTAAAATGTACCTCTAAATCTCTGCAATTTCCATTTAAGTGTCTATAGCTGGAATTTTCATGCTATATACTTTACAACAGTGTAATAAATATGATAAAGGTAGTGAGCCTGTGGGGTTGATTTACTAAAGGCAAAAAAACTGTGCACGTTGCAAGTGCAGTTGCACTCAGCATGGGTATTTGCTCCAGAGCTTCATATATAAAGTGAAGCTTCACTCTGCAAGAAGGCCCAATCATGTGCAAGAAAAGTAAAAAAGGCAGCATTTTTACTGGCATATGATTGGATGATAGAAGTTGGAAGAGCTTCCCTGCATTTTCTAAGCTTTGGAGCTTACAGAGAGCAACTGTAGTTGGAAAGTACAGTCTGTTTACTTTTAGTAAATCAGCCCCTGTACTATGTTGAGAGAACAGAATCCTGTTGGATTTGGTTGTGTTAGACATACTGTTTGATGCTTTTAGCCAGCTTAATAGATATGCTTTGGGGTTGATTTCGTAAAGGAGTAGAAAATGTTCCTTTAGCTTTGTGAATAAATTGAAGCTTTGTTCCCTTTAGTCATCAAATTATGTTCAAGCAAAAATTATTTTTTTCCTTACTTGATTAGATCAGTAACTTTTACCTTTTTTACTAAGGTAAATAAACAACCATTCTGAAAAATTACTATTCATTTCTCTTTATGTTTAGCAACCCGATGGAATGTGGCATAAAACGTAGACACACACTGACAGGCAGAAATAGAGCTCAATGTTTGGCAGCAGCAGATGAGCACTGACACAAACAGACTGAACTGTGGCAGGGGGAAGATAAAATGGGCCATTGCCTTTATCCTCATCCTTGCCATACACAACATTATAGTTTGGTAACTTTGTGAAATAAAAAACACATTCTATCTTTTAGTTTTTGATGAAGACATTTGTTGATTATGTGATTTATTTACAGTACTTAACAAATACTAATTATTATTTAACCAGCATCTTCCAAAGTTTCTTCTTTATCTTTAGCTCTTCTGTATTGACAAAAAATGGTGTTTTGTTATAGTACTTTAGGTGCTTTAACTGTGCAGCTCAAACTTGTTAAAAAATACTTTATTTGTACAGGTTCTGAGCAATGGTTCTCTGTGTTGCTGCAGCAGGTTGTTAAAAACACAGCAAAAGTGTTTTGTTGTTTGGCTGTACTGCAGTTATATTTTATGGTTAGTATGCTTCTTGTTAATGCTCGTAGTGTTGTAAAACGGGCTGCTTTGTGTCACAGTTCTAAAATGTTCTTACTTCCTAGACTAGGGTTATTAGCACAGGTTTCAGGGTTATTCTTTGTGACAAATTTTTTACTGTGAAAAGTCCATCAATCCTTTTATCAGCTTTCCCTTGCACCATTTCTGTATTATGTGTTTAAAAGATTGATATGAGTGTGAATGCTTAATAACATTGCCATACCACAGCAAATTCTCATCTTAACTTCTGATTTTAGGTCCCCAGGAATTCAGACCTCCCAAATGCATCTCAGGTACAAAAAGAGGAACAGAAGAAGATTGATGAGTCTGAGCCGCTCAGCACTGCAGAGTCAGAAGAGAAGGAGACACTTTTAACCCAGGTATGCAGAAAATATTTCTGTAGTTGTCATGACAAAAGAGGCTGCCTATATTGTCAGTTCATGTGGGCAATTGGGTAATGCTGCATAATAAAACAAAAGAGGATATACAGTAGTGGATGTTACCTTTTATGTTCAGACAGAAAATCACATTACATATCATTGATAATACCGCTTGTAGTAATAAATGGCACATTTTGTATTAGAGTAGTAGGTACTTTCTTTGTGGAAGGGGTGAATATGACTGCACACAAGGACTCTTGACAGAACATGGCTACACTTAAGAAAACTGACAAATGACAGTAGTTCTGTACAACAAATTAAAAAAAAGGTACAAATCTGGCTAATATGCCTTGAACGAACACTAACTTCAAATAAACTATAGTTTATATATGAAATCCATTAGTATCAGACACAAATAGCTGTATTGTATGTTCCGTGCTGCTTGCGTTTATTGTCTCATATTTAGGCAGGGGGACTCTTTCATCCATTTTTACATCTGTATATGGGTGACTCTTGTTAAAAGTCCTCCTTTGTTTGAGTTATGAGTTATATGTAAGTTATATGTAATTAAAATTAGGCATAGACTGCCTGATGAAAACATAGAAGGACTGATAAGCAAATGAGAACAAATTCTTAAATCTCTATGAGCAATAACAAGTGCTCGTTAATGACTCCTAATTTTGCTGACCCTTGTGTGATACTTGCATTATACAGGCGAATCATAGCATAATTAGACTTTTTTAGATATCCTTAAGCAATGCATTCATGGCACAAAGTTCCAATATCATCAGAATTCAAAAGAAGCAGCTTGCAGTCTTGGAGTCAATTTGGAGTCTCTATAGCAGGCATCACTAAATGGCGGATGGTTCAGATCTGGTCCGAGGCACTATCTTATTTGGACCACCGCAGTCATGCCATTTTGGAGCTGCTTCCTTCTCCCAGCCTCCACCGCTGTTATTATCGCAGCAGAGAGGGGAGAAGGAGGCAGGACAGTACTGGACTGAGTGCAGGAAGCACAGCAAAACATTGGATGGGGGGCAGGAGCAAGAGCTTCCAGGTTAACGTTTCAAATTAACCAGCAGGGGTTGGTTCTAGAATGCACAGCAGTCCTAGCAACCAATCACTTGTTGGTTAATATGAAAAGTTAACCCCGGCAGCTCCTGCTCCTGCCCTCCATCCAATGCTGTGCTGTGCCTACCGTACTCAGTCCAGAATTGTCCTGCCTTCTGCTCTAAGGTAGGAGAGACAAGGGTGGGCAGAGGAAACTACTGTGGGGAGATGTGATGTGATGTGATGTGAAAGGGGGCAGTGCTGTGCAGGGTGTGGTCAGAGCACACTACTGTGGGGGGGGAGTGTGTGATGTGAAAGGGGGGCAGTGCTATAGGGAGCTGATGTAAAAGGGGGGGAGTGCTGTGAAGGGGTTGATGTAAAGGGGGGGGGGTGCAGTGCTGTGGGTGGTGAGGGTAAAGAAGGGCAATGCTGAGGTGGTGATGTAAAGGGGGAGCAATGCTATGGGAGGGGTTGATGTAAAGCAGGGGCAGTGCTGTGAGGGGATGATGTGAAGGGGGGCAGTGCTGTGAAGCGGTAGAGGACAGTACTGTGGGGAGGTGATGATTTTAAATGGACTGGGGTTATGTGAAGAGTCTCAATTACAGATCTCCCCCTCTGTGAAGCTTTTTAAAACAATAACCAAAACGTGAACAGCACTGAAGGAAATAGAAAAGACTCTTGTGCTCCTTAAGTAGATTTTCTGCATACACTGTTGGCAAAAAGCTGAAAAAATACAGATTGACACCTCACGTTATTAACCACTTTCCCACTGCCCTATAGCAGAAGTACTGCTACAGGACAGCAGGGCTGCTCAAAATCACGTATATACACGTGATTTTCATTTCCGAGTAGGGGGCCCGCGCGTGTGTGTGCCGCCCTACCCGAGCCGCTATTGGCGGCTAGAGATGTCAATCACCAGGTCCCAGCCGGCGATTCCCAGCCAGCACTCAATGATCGTTGGGAAAAGCTGACAGGAGTGACTTGTGTGTAAAAAACACGGATTTCTCTCCTGTCAGCATGGACATGCTGTTTTTGTGTCTCTCTGCACAGCAGTATGCCTTCCTAGTAAAACACAGCACACAGTAAAACACACGCAGCCACAGTTAACCCTTTAATCGCCCCAGATGTTAACCTCTTCCTGCCCAGTGTCATTAGTACAATGTCAGTGCTTTTTATTAGCACTGATCACTGTATTGGTGTCACTGGGGATATCAGTGGCAGTTAGTCAGTTCCCACCCAGTGTCAGAATGTCCGCCGCTGTCCTGCAGTCCCGCTATAAGTCGCTGATCGCTGCCAATACTAGTATAAAAAAATATAAAAATAAAACTTCCAGTATATATAGCGCCATTTGTAGATGCTATAACGTTCACATAAACCAATTACCTGTAATTTACACTTATTGGGATTTTTAGCAAAGACATGTATGAGAATACATTTTTGGCCTAAATTTATGAACAAATGTTTTTATTTTTTTATTAGATATGTTTTATGGCAAAAAGTCAAAAATATTGTTTTTTTTTTTTCAAAAGTTTGAGTTTTTTTGTTTGTAGCACAAAAAATAAAAAAGGCAGAGGTGATCAAATACCACCAAAAGAAAGCTTTATTTGTGAGAAAGAAATAAGATAAATTTCATTTATGTGCAGTGTTGCATGACCAATTGTTGCAATTGTCACTTAAAATAACGCATCGCTATATTACAAAAAATGGCCTGGTCAGGAAGGGGGGTAAATCCTCTGGAGGGAAAGTGGTTAAAAACAAAAATAGCATATGTCAATTTCACATTACACACATAGCCCAAGTTTTCTGAGACTTCAATGCAGGTGACTATATAATATGCAGGTGTTCTAATATTCTTGACAACCCGCCCCCTGCAGGTCTCCTTAAGTGTATGCAGCATTATCTAGTATCTAGTGACATCCCTAAAATCTAATTCTTGGCACTCCATTCCCCTAACACAACTACCAATGATAATGAAATCATGGCAACCATTAAATCATTGCTAACCCATAAAGCTCTGGGTCCAGATGGCTTTCCCTATTAATAATATTATGATTATTATTACTATGCAGGATTTATATAGTGCCAACAGTGTTTGCAGCATTTATAATATAGGAGGAGATAGTACAATTCAGTGGCGTCCCTAGGGGAGTGCGGTCTGCACCGAGTGACACCATCACAGGGGGTGCAGGAGCAGGATGCTGGCACAGTGACAGCTGCCTCCACCCCGGTGTAGCGTAAAATAGTATCCCCTAAAGCAACTGTGCATGTGCCGGTTTCAGGCCGAAGAAGCCGATTGCCTGCTCTGTGCTAAAGTTGGGGATCGTCTTCTTTGGCCTGAAACCAGCACATGCGCAGTTGCTTCAGGGGATACATATCTTCAAGGGATACTCATTTTTTTACCACTACACCAGCACCGCTCCTTCCTCTCTGGGTGGATGACACCACGTGTTACCGCACCAGGTGACACGACATTAACCCTAGGGACGCCTCTGGTACAGTTACAATACAATTCAATACATAATGGTTAGGAGGGCCCTGCTTCTGAGAGCTTACAATCTAATAGGGAGAGGCAAGTAGAAAAAAAGTTAATAATTGTGAGTGATTTGCTGATGGGAGAATAAAATATTCAATTGTAACCTATGCAGCCCATGTTTGAGTCATTGCCCCATAGTCTACCTTGTATGCTTATAATCTTTTGACGGAGGTAAAAAAAAAAGTTGTGGATAACACCTGTCCACCCCAATTCTCTGTCTACTATGGAATAGTACTGGTGACCTAGAACTGGGCAAGCTTCTCCATACGATGTTGTGCTGTGAGTTGCCAGTGCTCTCTGTTTTCTGAAGTACCTCTGATAATGGCTTTTCTACTTAATCCTAACATTCTGGACAACCTGACATCATCAATTACTGTCCCTTGGATGTCTAAGGCCTTATTTCATTTTCAATACTTGGCAGATGTCAAAACTGGGAAACTTCTTTCATTTATGGATCTCAAAGGAAAATTTGTACTACTGAGCTGAGCATTGTATGGCTATTTAAAAATACGCTACTATGTTTAATCTATTACAAAATTTTTGTAATTTTCCAAATTAACACCCCTTAAGGAATTGTTCTCCTTAGACTATCCAGCAAAGGGTTAATATCAAATATTTATAAGGTGCTGAATATAAATTCTCTACAAAGTACAGGTAAACACTTCTAAATGTACAAGTGGGTGAGAGTTCTGGGGGAGGAACTGACTCCGAAGTGTGGAAAATTATTTGGTCTCAAGCAGATAAAACATGATCTGTACCTTATTTATAGAAAATATATACAAGATACCCTGCCATTTGTACAAAACCCCAGATTTACTCCACATTGTCTTTCCAACAGCCAATGATAGATGTTGGAGATGCAAAGATAGCTAGGTCCCCTCTATCACATATTCTGGCAATGCCCACTTATTAAACCCTGTTGGAAATCAGTTTAAACTCTCATTCACCAGGTATTTGACTCAAAAATCCCCCTAACTCCCACATCTTTTTGGGTCTACCTCCATTGGGCTTTTCTGAATTGCTAAGAAACCGCTATTGCATGTTCTTACAGCAGCCAGATGTCTGGTAGGAAGAAAGTGGAACCTCCAACTTCACTAGACCTACATGCTAGGATTAGGAATGTAAAGATAATGGATAATCCAACAGCATGAATGCACAACACTTTAGAGCAATTTAATAAGGTCTAAGAGCTGTGCACCTTAAGGAAGATTTGATAAACTGACATAATCCAGTTTTCAGGACAATTTGTTTGGAGGCATGCCTTGCACATCTGGTGCCGCACAGTGGTGATACCTCTTTTTGTTCTCTTCTTTACTATTTCCATTTTTCATACTTTTGCCCCATCCTATGCCTACCTACACCTAGGTTGGAGGGAGAAAAGTAGTGTTTATAACAACCTACTATTTACTGAGCGGTG